GACCAACTGTGCCGTGCTGTGTGGTTGACGAGAGAATGTTTTTTCGTAAGGTGACAAGAGAATGTTGCCGGAGTGACCGTCCTGAGCGACGAGCGAGGACTCACCCTGCTCTGTGCGGCGATGGCGATGCCATTGGAGCGGTGAAGGAGGAGAGTGCCTTCTGGACAGGGAGCAGCTCCTGCTGCCGCACCGCACTGCTCCGTGATGGCGTGATCCGCCGGCGACAACGACAACTGCATCTCCGTAGCAGATTCCATGCGTCCGAATCAGTCAAGTTTATCAGGCGAGCACATCATTTTGTAAGACAGTATTTGTTCATCGTAAATGCTGTGTTCTTTGCCATGTGAGAAATAAGGTGTAACTTTCCTTCAGGTTGTACACGGCGACTTCGGTGTGTTCCATTCCAAGTTTAGTGGTTTGTATGTACTAGCTGGCAAACCTCTTGTAAAGGCCGGAATATTTTTTTAAAAAAAATATATAGGTTTTATTCTATTTTGTTCTTTCAGAAGAGATTTTTTTTTAATTTATATACTAGGTAGCGTGCCCGTACGTTGCTACGGCACAGCTAAACCTTTGTACTAAAAATACACGGATCACACAATAAAATAACAATACTGTGAAATTAAATACGACGTTAAAGTGACATTTAATCCAAAAGACAAAGTTGGTAAAAATAAAACAAGATAAAATTTGTAAAAAATAAACAAATGATCAAATTCATTAAAATTCACGTCTCATATATTATATAACCAAATATTTTTATCACATAATAAATGTCGCATAACGACTATGAGGCATGTTCAAGACTACGAGGCATGTTCAAGCAGCTATGAGGCCAAGAACGGATTCACAAAATGAGGCATTTTCAAGCAAGTTTTATGGCATCATGATCGCTAAATCAGTAAGTTATAAAACATCCATGTTTACGATTCAGAATGTGGAGAGACCATCGTCACAAGCTCAAGGAACTCCCCTTCAGAATTGCATTGAAGCACTTGCTCAGGGGAGAGGCCATCGAGGACTCCTTCTGAAAGTTCCGTGAAACATGCCTGTTCAATTTAAATGTACAGAAGTTTCAGTTCTCTGAACCATGCTTGTCCAATTTAAATGTCCAATTTAAACATAGTTTCATGATTGTTTCAAGTTGACAGATGTCCTACCTTAATCAGGTTGGCCAAGCAGTGAACACTAATGTCCTCAGGTACAATTCCTTTGTTCAGTTGGTCCCTCGTGTGTTCCTCTTGATCATTCTCCGGATTAATGCGAAAGATCCCCTCAGCGGGAAATTGGAATGCTGGAAACTTCAGAGCCTACATGGTTTCACTACTTGAGACATTTCTTAGGGGAAGTAAATTTACCAGGCACTTGCTGGTTGATAGAACAATTCTGAAACAAATGCAAACACACTAAAGCTTAATTAAAAATCATGAAATTGACTCCTTGAATATTCTAAATTCTTCGGTAGTTTTCTGAAAATATCAGACCTCATTTACAGTCAAAGGATTTATAGAAAAATAACTTAAGCAAACACTAAATCTTCTGAATCCATTGTGTACTTTTGATTTAGGAGAACAAATAAGTTTTGAATTTAATTGGGTCTATCCTTTTCTGGCCTCGCCATTGCTTCATATACCAGTGGCACATAAAGCTCTTGACCCTTGTGTTCTAATAGCGTAAACCCAAGTCGTCAACCAAATAAAATCAATTTAGTTCAAATTCTGTATTATTTTAGTCTGGGTAATACTTATTGTTTGACAAATATCTAAGTGACCAATGTCACAGCATCATTGGTTTAGTAATCAGTTGTTTGAGTCCTTGCTGGTGTGCTGAGTATATTCTAAGGTTTGTTACCAACTTGTATTGGTCCATCACAAAGCCATTAATAGGACTCGCTTACTGGATTGGCTAACTTGAGACTAATCAAAGCAAATCACAATTACCAAAAAAAAACACAAAGGAAAGCACGAAAAGCGGTTCAGCACTGGCTTGCTACCACTACTTTTCTAAAACTGACTCTTTGCTCCATCAGAACATGAAACACACCTGATATAAAGTAAAATGTTTATCAATTTTTTTGTTCCATATAACATTATTATTCCATAACTTGCCATAGACACAAAACATTAGGCTTGCTACCTTAAATGTTTGTCCACAGCCACTACCCTGAAATAACCATCAATAATTACTGGCATCAGTCTGCGAGAGAAAGAAGGTTGAGCCATCTTTAGATAATATCTGAAAGTTCATTACCAAAAATTCACAAGTGCTAAAAAAGATAGGCATATCGTACTACTTGCATAGAGTACTGTATAACCTTTTTTATGGCTAATGACATGAATTAAGAACAAAATGAATAATGCCATGAAGTCAATAAATAGCAGTCGTATGGAAATTTTCTGGGCCTGTGGCGCCTTTGATAATGCCATGATAATGGCCGTGAGATTAGGGGATACCAAGAACAAATTAGTGGTTGCTCGTGGAACAAATACCAGGGCACAGATCAATGGTTATGCGTGGAATACCAAGGGACAAATCAGTGGTTATGCGTGGAACAAAAGTTGCAAGGTGCTGATGCATTCCAATCCAAGACAGAGTATTGTTAATTCGTGGAACATATCAGAAAATATGTTTGGTTCATTCGTGTAATAGATCAAGGGAACATATTATTGGCACACATGCTGCTGCATTCCTGATTAAAACAACCAATAGCACACATCACCTTTGCCTAATACAGAATTGCAGTTCGATCAATTCTTTCCTGTGCTGCTGCTATGGTGATTGGCGACTGAGACACCATCTATCAGGGCGCTGAGTCCCTAGTTGACCAGGGCGACAAGCATGGGCGTTGTTCCATGGTGATGTGATAATACAACAGATTCCTGAAAAATAACAACAGATTCCATTCAATTATAAGCTCACAGATGACAGATCCACAATCCCTAAGCCTTTACAGTTCAATCTTCCTTCTTCTCTAATGATGTCCAAACCCTAACACTGAGAATGAGATTTGGGAATTGGGGGGAAGTAGTGGAATGGAGAAGAACAAGCACTCACGAGAGGCCAGTAGACCACAGGGCACCACGACCCTGCTGGACGGGCGCCGGCCGGTGCCGTGGTGCCGATAGACGGGCGCCTTGCGGGGGCGGCCGGCACCTCATCGCTCCTCGCTTCCGTGGGGGCGGTGGCAAATGGGAGGGTGAGGGAGCAGGTGAGCCGGAGGGCGCCACCCCGTGCGGCGCGGAGGGCAGCAGGGCCAGGCGTCGGCGTCGTGCGTGAAGAGGGCGTGCGTGGTGCAAGGATGAGATCCTTGCTCCTCGTGTCTCCCTCGGCAGCGGCAGGCGTCGGTGGTTCCTGCGAAGGGTGCGGTGCGGATCGCGACTTCGCGAGGCCGGCGGTAGTCGCGACTTCGCGAGGGTGTGGGCACGGATAGCAGGCATGCGATTGATTGACTAATTGATTCCTGCGTTGTTTGACTGATTTGTTTCCACTTTTACCAGAGGAATTGTCGCACGGGGGAGGGAGGGACGCGCGAGCTTTGTCGTCGCATGGGGCAGACCGACGCTGCGCGAGGTTTCCTTCCTTTCCCGTATCATCGCGCGACGCGGAACGCACGGACCAGAGGGGCAAAGCGACGAAACAAAAGTCGTACCAAAAAAATGTCCACGCCGTGTTCTTTTAATTGTAGGAGATATCAGAGTCACCATCACGCCTCGTCCAATCAGGATCTGACGACCACGACGGTGCCTCCACGTCAAGCTCTCCACTCCCGCGCCCCGCCCTCGTGCTTTTTATTGGGGCCCACCATGTCTAGTCCGTCCCGGCGTCTCTCCCACCCCAAAACCCATATGACGGTCGTGCCCAGTGGCTAGTGCCCACCTGGCGCGACCCGAGCCTGGTCATCATCCGTCCATCCCACACGGACACATCCAGCCATGCGTGCACCAGCAATTTCACCTGCGCGATCCGCCTCGGGGCGCCACCCCTCCAGCTTCCCTAGAATCCCCAGATACGACAAGGAGGCAGGCAGGCCCATGCGCGTGCAGTAAACCACGCTCTAATCACTCCAAGATAGGGAATAATAGTCTCTCTAGATAATGACCGCCCCGAAGTGCCAAATTCCATCCTTGCACCACTAGTCCACTGCCACCAGTGTGGTAGGCCCGCAGGAGTACTTAAGGTGAATACTGAAAGGAGGGGGCGCCACGTGGACGCCGGTGGTAGGCCGGGACTCTAACCGCCTGCCTCCAAATGTGGAGGGCGAGTCCTATAAAACCGTGTGCCGTTTCACAGTAAAGGATGGCTGCCAGTATCCCTGCAGCACAATGGTCGTAGCCGTACACGCTGCTCGGACGGAGGGAAGCACGAGCGGTTCGGACGGAATATAAATAGCTGTTCGTTTGGGCTTGTTTGGCTTATAAGCCATGTCCGAAAGTACTGTTGGCTGGTTTTGTGTGAGAGAAAAATACTGTTCGTTAGCTGATAAGCCATGATTTATAAGCCAAATACGACAAGCGATCAGGCTGAAAGAAGACAAGCCTCAGCTAGGCTGGATGGGAGTCCGAGCAAAATTATGCCCAACACAAGTCCGTACAAGTTTAGACCGCAAATAGATGATTGGGCTGGACGAAAATCTAGAGTTTGTTGTTTAAAAAAAAAATCTAGAGTTTGGCATAAATTTTGCTCTTTAAGACAAGAGTGTTACTGACTGCACATACGTGACATCCAAGAGTAGAACAATTTTGTTGTCATTACCCGAGACCGAGAGTGTTTCGCAGCAGTTTCGTTCCATCGTCCATTGGTCAATGTGCTACTGTCCTGTGTACCAATATTTATACATTCTAGACTAGATAAGCAAAAGAAATCGATCGTCTGGTTTTGACCTGCATTTCTGTAACGACTGAAGCTGCACTGACCAAAACCCGATGAGGCGATGACCCTCATATACATGGCACCCAACTACTGCCGGTCGGCCGCGACAATCCCCGAGCGCTAAGGGAACAATGAACATGACGACGGCGGAACCGGTGAAGCTCATCGGCGCATTCGGCAGCCCGTTCGTGCACCGCGCAGAGGTGGCCCTGCGCCTCAAGGGCGTTCCCTACGAGCTCATCCTGGAGGACATGAGCAGCAAGAGCGACCTCCTGCTCGCCAACAACCCCGTGCACAAGAAGGTCCCCGTGCTCCTCCACGGCGACCGAGCAGTCTGCGAGTCGCTCGTCATCGTCGAGTACATCGACGAGGCCTTCGACGGGCCGCCCCTGCTGCCGGTCGACCCCTACGACCGCGCCATGGCGCGCTTCTGGGCGCACTTCATCGAGAACAAGGTAACGTATGATTCAGCACGCCTGCACCTTCGATTCCGACGCTCATGTACTCGTAACAACTAACAAGCAGTGCCTGGAGCGGCTGCGGCTAGCGCTGTTCGGGGAGGGCGAGGCGCAGAGGTCGGCCATGGAGGCGGCGAGGGCGGGCCTGGCGCTGGTGGAGGAGCAGCTGAAGAATAAGAGGTTCTTCGGAGGCGACGCCGCCATCGGCCTCGCGGACATCGCCGGCGGCGGCCTGCTGGCGCACTGGCTCGGCGTGCTGGAGGAGGTGGCCGGAGTGAGCGTCCAGACGAGCGGTAGTGACGAGGAGTTCCCTGCTCTCCGCCGGTGGGCGGCGGAGTACAGGTCCTGCGAAGAGGTGCAGGCGTGCCTGCCGGACCGGGCTAGGCTCCTCGCCTACTTCGCCGGCGTCAGGGACAAGTGCGTCTCGGTGGCCAGATCGACGATGCCGAAATAAACATCGAGATTGAGGTCGTTGTCAATCTCATCATGTAGGAAAAGGCTTATTGCTTAGCACGTTTGGTCGCCCGTCGCTGTCGCACTTGCCACCTGCTGCAGATTATTGCGATTAGGGCCGCGTTTAGTTCGGCCACCGAATCGGCGCCGCCGGATTCGGTGCGCACTGTAGCTACTGTAGCGTTTTGTTTTTATTTGGTAATAATTGTCCAATCGTTGACTAATTAGGCTCAAAACGTTTATCTCGTAAAGTACAACCAAACTGTGCAATTAGTTTTTGATTTCGTCAACATATAGTACTCCATGCATGTATCGCAAGTTTGATGTGACGAGTAATCTTCTTTTTGCATAGTGCCAAATTCTAGAATTTGGGGCAACTAAACGAGCCCTAGCTAATGGCTTTTGGTCAACACTTGTTTGGTGATGTCGCTGCCTGGCTGGTGACATTGACTCCCGCAAAGAAAGCGGAACGCACTAGTTTGCTAGGAGCAGCAAGTTTTGGTTACGAAGGAACGACCTGGTTTAAAAAAAAAGTACTTTTTTCCTTTACGGGTTATCTACTCGATTATACATTTGGTTTCGTTCATGGCCTGTCCCACAGAAGTCAACTTCACAAGATTTGATTGTAGCGGCATCTCAACAATTGGCGCAGGTGGCTAAGAAGTTTTTTTATCCGGGCACATGGGTGGTAGTCTAATCTTCAGATTGAGTGTTATTAGTGTATCTTTTTTTAAAAAAAATCTTATGTAAGGCTATGTGTATCCTTGTTATACAGAGGTCGGAAGTGTCTCAGGGGTTTTGTATCATATTAATGTAACGATCTTGAAATTAATAAAGCTTTCCTTATCGAAAAAAATAGTTGCGTTGCACTTGGGCAGTAGGGCTCGCTGTGCAAAATGAATTCTTACTGAAAAGACTACCCTAGTACTCTTTGCTTCCTCTCTACTCTGATAGCCTGATCAATTGGTTACTACTTATACGATCAAATTTTTATAGAAGTTTGTACGTATACTGCTTATTCATGCATATTCGGAGAGAAGAAGACTCACGAAGTCACGAGCGTGTACAAACGTTTGCACGAATTGTATGTTGAACTAGCGTATACCGTGCGTTGCTACGGGCTTTAAAATTTTCAACACAATAAGAGTATGAAAAAAAATAATGGGTCCAAATCAATCTATTTCACCATCCAAACCATTACTACACTACTACATTTGGGATAGTTTTGTATAACTATAGGACTATATATCTAAGGCCCTCATGAAAAAACATGGGTGCAATCTAATTAACACTTTCACACGATGGATGTGGGGGCCATACACATATCTAACCTCTTAATATACCACATTGAAGAGCAAATATCTGTAAACTCAACAAAAAGGCAAAACCCAATTATAAGATGTTTCTCCCACAAATATTAACTTAGTTTTCTAGCTGCGCACGGAGAGTATAAGTGAGTAGGCTAGTGGGTCTTAGAGGTCTAAACTTGCTGCCAAAGGGGAAAAAAAACATCCACCCTCCGTTGGTACAAGAAGTTCACAGAGACATCTCGGACAGTTTGCATGCACAGTTGCACACCATGCAACCATTGCATTTTGAGAAGGTGCCTCTGTCCTCTCAGAAACTCCTCATTAGCAAATTCCCATCTGTCAGGATCCACCTTTCTGTAGCCCTGCCAAACCAATAATCCAGTCATCAGAAATATCAATCACCATTTTTCATCGAGGAAGAATTAACGGCTGAAATCATTTCAGGTCGGATAAAATGCCAAAATGAAGAGGAGTCCTATGAAGAATATAAATTATTTATCTTTCACCGATACACACCACATGTTTCAGTTTGCATGGTTCAGTTCTTAAATCTATTAATATTCTTATTCAACATATTATATTATTTTCACACAAAGAATAGAAAACAAACCCCTCATCACAAGGCAAAATAAAGGAAGATCAAAGACAAGTTTGGAGGATTGGAGTCCATTTGGAAATTGTAGGTGATGACCTGCCTGCCTGCAAAATTTATATAATGCATCATTTTTTAACAAAGTCGATCAATGTCATCAGACCTTCAGTACGGCGTCTGTGCTGTACATATACAGTATTATCTCAACAACTACTGACAGAATGAAATTGGCTGGGGTATGGGAATACCAGGTGCCGGCTTAAAAGTTTTAGAAGATCGGAAAAACAAATTCCAGGCAATGAAAGTTTCAATATTCAAACCAGACCATTGCTGCAGGAAAATTAAGTCACCCCTTAGATTTTTACAGGAACACATGTGTTCAAACAACCATGCACTGAGGAGCAACGAGCTCAAAATAAACAGCCTCTCCTGAAGGATAATTCTGCATTATTTTCTATTATGCAGTCCATGAAAGATCTTAAAACATCAGTAGTTTCTAGATTGTTAGTATTCTTAACCACTAACAGTGTCTGTGGTTAGATTGTTAGTATTCTTAATCACCAAAAGTGTCTATGGTTTACTTCAATGGAACCAAATTAATCAAACATACTCTCTTCTGTGCATTTTCCCCCCTAATAATTATTTGGTTGTAGTTTATTTTTTGTTTCATTGGTTTTGACCAACTTTAACTGGTGCCAACCTACCCCACCCCACCCCCCAACCCCCCAAAAAAAAGCATAATAAGTTCTTAATCAAAATTCAGCTGGATCATGATTACCTTGCTTTGATTACTTCCACACAAAACTTGCAACTTTGCTTTTCCAGTTTCTTATGTGCATATATAAAAGAAAGAGACGACACACATGATATCATGCTAACAATTAGGAAACAAAGTACCAGGGGAGTATATTATCCATGCATGCAAGGAAACAACAGTAACTGTCGTCTTGTAGCGACAAGATAGTGGGCTCTGAAGACAACACTGCTGAATTCACTTAGAACTTTGGTTGAGAATTCATGACTTGCCAGCTTCCTCTGGTGCCTCCACTTATCCCCGTCTATTGCAAAAATTCCATCCCCGAAGAGATCCTTCACATTACTCCAATATTGTAGGCTCCCTGTGTTTCAGCCTCAAATGAGATCAAAATCATGTTCATATAAGGTCATATTGTGGTGGCCTGTCAGCTAAGTAAATCAATTGTTTGTATGGTTAAGTAGCTAGATGATCTGACAGATTAGAATGAAGATACACTTCAAAATAAGCTTATCACGAGCATAAATGGTATATAATAAAAGAAGCAGTACAAACACATTTTTTATGGGCTATGTAATTGAGGAAAGCAATCAGTTTATGGCAAGCATATAATCAGCTCATAGAAACTACCATATATTCTCAACACAGACACGACTGAATCACAAGCTTATCAACTGGGCACTTTTCTACACGTCTCTTGTCTGGAAACTGAAGCAGGTTTACCCAATGCAGTATCAAATGATCGAACCAAGCATCAGAGCTACTGAGCAATCGGACTCACCATCGATCACCTACCAATCTGCACACTATCAAGAGACAACAATGGATCCACCGAGCAAGCTAAGCACTCACCATCAATCCCCTACCAATCAATGTGCAATATAAATCTGTAGTGACGGTGATAGACATCAAAACAATATATAATCATTTGTTCCAATGAATTACATGCATCAGAAGCAAATAAGGCACTCACCCTTACCTTTTTGGGCAGCCTTAGCACAAAATGGAAATTTACCTAGAGGGCCGTGCGACGAGAGACCGCGCCTCCAGACCTCCCCCTGCCACCGCACTGGCCCGCTGCTGCCGCCGGCGTCCTCTCGCACGGGGCGACAAGAGACCGCGAGGACGTGCGACGAGAGACCGCGAGGGCTCGGGACGGCGGTTCGCGTGGCGGCGTGAACATGGGAGCGTGGTAGTTTTCGCGGGCAGGGAGAGAAGAAGCGCGGCGTTTGGCGGTGTCGGAGGAGCGGGTGCGTGCGGGCGGGTAAGAAAGGTTTCGGGGAAAAAACTTCGGATCGGTGTCGATGGTTTCTCCACGAAACACGCGTTCCATATGTCAGGATGTCAGGAAACTTTCCGGGCCCACAATGAACGTTTAATCAGATGCGTTAGATGCACATCCAAGGGAGGAAAACTAAGGTGGGTAAGATGGTTGAGACTTTTCCCTACAAGCCATTATAAAAGTTTTTAATTCCTTCGCTGCACAGAAATTTTGGATGCCCCTCCTCAGTCCCTCGCGCAAAGTTTTCTGGTCCCGTGTGCCACTTCCGTGAGGTTAGAGCATGACGGCCGGTAACGGAGGGATACAATGACCCTTTTGCCCCTGTGTCTACTTAAGTCCCACGAAAGACACCACAGTCTCCAACTCCTCATTTCTCGTCTCTCTCTCTCGAGCTCCTCTCTCTCTCTCTCAAAACCCTAGCCGAAGGAACCAAGGCGGCGGCGAGAAGAGGCGGCGGTGACCAAGCAGATCTGCACACGTGAGGAGGGGGTCTCATGGGGTAGGGATCAAGAGGTTGACCCACTGGATCCAAGGCCGCGTGCAGCAGGGGCCTTGGTTGAGGGTGACCGCGAGATCCAGGGAGTCGCCATGGTGGAGCCGGAGGTG